AAAACAGTGTAGTGTTTCTCAAACTATAACTATTATAGTTTAATTATATGCTTTGTAATGAACTGAAAATCTTTGCAATTTAACAATGTGAATAAGGTGGTAATAAAAGAATTGTGAAAAATACCCTTGTGCTCGACATGTTACAAAAGTGTTAACAATATAATGAAATATATTTTTATATTCATATACATTCCCAACGTATATAATTAAGAGTGAAAAGACAGTCAAATTATGAATTCTATCCTAAACCTACAACCAAACAAGGAACAAGATTTAGGGTGAAATTGCCAATTCTAAGTCTGTTGAACCTTTATATATATATATATATATATATATATATATATATATATATATATATATATATATATATATATATATATATATAATGCAACGATAAATTGGTTGGAAACAATTGCAATTGGTTTGAAACGGTTTGAAACCGTTTGAATATTAACAGAAGAGTCCTTGTGCTTTACTTGTATTCCCCCTAAAAAAATTGAAAAATAGTGAAAACGTAGGGGTATGAACTTACCTCTAGTGCATGTTTGTGTTCGGATAGCGAACTGTAGAGACGATCATCAGGCTAGCATACATGAAAATAACAATATCCTAATAATATTTAAACACATAAACGTATTTAAATTAATAAGATATAAATTTAAATAAATCAAATAATAAATTAAGAGTTAGACAACACTTAACTATGTAAGAAATACTTACAAAAAGTGTTAGGAATTAATTGGAAGTGTTCTAGGCATTTTCTGTGTGTTTGGGTGTTTTCGGTGGGAGATATGAATATTTGATGATGTTCTTGGTGTTCTTGAGGAAAACTTGATGATTTGAAGATTGTTCTTGGTGATCTTGGTGTTCTAGGTGAAATTATGATGATTTGGGTGGAAAACTCTTGAAGATATGAAGATTCTGTTTGACTTTTGAGAGCAAAATGAGGGTGTTTACGATTTGGAAATTGAGAAATGAATTGAGTTTGCGGGTAAACACTTATATATAGAAGGGGTTTTCGGCCTTAATGGGCATTAAACTTTATGTTTTTGGTCCTACACTTCCATAAAGGAAGTGTTTTCGTTCTTAAAGTCAAAGAGAAAAGTGTTTTCGGCCAAAGAGTCAAATAGCAAAGTGTTTTCGGTCTAGGCTTTCCCAAAAGCATGTGTTTTCGGCCATGCTTTATTCTAGAAAGGGGTTTTCGGTTTGGCTTTGGGATTAGATTCCCAAAACCGAAAACTACATTTATACCTTGAATTATCATATATTAAGTTAAGTATTAGGCTTGTATTTGCTCACATTAGCACTATTTTGCATATACTTACATATAAGTTAAATAAGCATGCACTCTTGGCATTTAAAGTTCTTATTGCATTAATGTTATACTATGAACTCACTTATACTTGGTTAATATTTAGGCTTTTATTTAGACAAGTTTGACTTACATTGACTTGAAATAACGGGTTGTTACAGTATAAATGTATAAGATCAAATTGTAAGCTGGTACGACAAAAATGCGATGGTCAAGGGGTTGCGCCCCCTTGCAGGGTCCTAGGGGTAGCATCCCTAGCGGGTCTAAGGGGAAGAGCCCCTGGTGGTCGTCCCGTGAGGTTTGGGGCAACGCCCCAAAAGGTCTTCGGAAACTTGAATTAGTTTCATTATAGAAAACCCGAATTCAAGTGGATGATTATGGTAAAATTGACAAATCTCGTCAATTTTGGAAACCATTGATTATGCCATTAAATTCGAGATTCTCCTAACTAATTAGAAGATTAAACCTTAATATGTCATGTATATATACAACTCTTCTTTTGAGCCGTATAAATAACCCTTTTTCTCAGCTCTTCTACTTAAAAAAAGACGAATACATAAATTTTTGATGATTTGGTTTGTGTTTCTGTGCCTAGACACACAAGTATCTTTTTGGATTATCTTAGACTGGGTTCTGTAACACATACATAGTGTGAGAATCTCAGTTCAGAAAGTGAACTTACACGATCCATAATGAAGCTGGTTTTCCACCACGACACTTACATTCCCCAAAACTTTAAGCCTAACTAAGGACACCAACTCACAAGACCATAGGGAATGATTCACGTCTTCAGGTTAGATGAACAAAGATGACACATCAAAGAATTCACTTCAACACCTTTTCGACTTAGATTCCATCTCGTCGGGAGACGATCCAACTTAGTCCGACAAACAAGAACATTAACCTTCCTAGGAAAGTAACGACATCGCCTCGTCTCAATAATTCCATCCGAGAGACTCATGTAATCAATAAAACATCCAATATGTTTAACCGTGAACGAGTTTGAACCGTCTAAACTCCAACATCAAACATCACCATCATTTGAAATCAGAAAGTTAGCTAACAAAGAACCAAGCTCTTCAAACTGACGTTGCAGAACACCTCCATTAGGTTGTTTGTATTGGGAAATTGGTAAATAAGACACTATTTGAAAATGTTTGCATTAAAATATAATACTTGTGATCCCAATTCTACAAGTATACAATGCGTATAACGCATTGGTAAAAATGACATAAAAGTGCTACTATGAACATTTTTGTCGCTTAAACGCTTCATGTATAGCGGGATGGAAAGGTAGATCAGAGTAGTTTTGGGACTTGTAAAACTTACAATCAATTGAAAAGTCTAGCAAAGTTTGTGGTCAACTTTCTTGTTCATGTAATCATCAGAAGACATTATTAAATATTATGTAACAAATCCTGAAATATTAAAAAGATTATTGTTTGTAAAGTGTTCAAGTGTAATTGGTATATGTGGACCATGTTTTGGATATGTAGTGACACCGGTAACATCATGATCATTTAGTTTGTGTTGAATTTATGTATTGGATAAAACTAAGTGAGGTTCCACAATAATGAATTGTTCTCGACATACAGGAATAAGACAAACAGGTAAACTAAAAAAAATGATAAATCTGTGTTACAGAAATAAATTAAATGGAAATTATCAACAATTGGATAAATATTTACAATTAATTGTAATGGTTTAGATCTATTTAATTATGAATAAGTCGATGTGAATTGCATTTTAGCAAAATTCAACTAAAGAAAAACAAGTAAAAGGAGTTGAAAACTAACTACTTTAATCGTATAAAAAAAGTAGAATATTATTTGAATAATTATAACCATATATAATACTCTAGTATTAATTACAAAAATTGAATAAGTCCATACATTACCCATATTGCATTTAAAAAAGAAAAGAAAATATCACATAGGGATCCTTTCTTAAAGAATAACGGCGATCACGGAATCCTATGCAAACTAGAAAAGACTTTCACATGGAAAGATTCATTAATCACTCACATGTGGGATGGATAGCGTATTTGGTAACCCAATCCCATCACCCACATGATCTTCCTCTTTTCCCTTCTTTATCTTTCTTTCTTTCGACCACCCATTCGATATGAAGTCATAACTGACCGATGAGGGTGGTTGACGACGGGTTGTTGAGGCGGTTGATGGTGATGGGTCACGACGGCGGTTGCTGGCTTAGCTCACAATTCACAAAATATGAAGTTTAATGAACAAATTACGTAGTTGTTTATTTATTTATTTATAACAGTTTAGATAAATATTCTGATCTAAGTTCTAAATTCTAAACCAATTATTTTGTTTTAAAAAGAAATAATTTATTCAACAAAATACAAATAAAATATAAGAAAAAGTTATCCTTGGACCATTCATGTTACTTTCCAATGTGTAAAAAGGTCAAATATCAATAAACTCTATTTGCTTCCAAGTTCCAAGTACATTTTTCCTATCTTGCAACAAATATAACTGCTTTCCCAATTAAATAAACATATTTTTTTTTTTTTGTATCAAAAGAAAATAAAACGAGATCAATACTAAATTAAAAGGAATCAAAATATTGAAATTTTATATAATTTATTTCGTTAAAGTTTAATTATATTATAAACATTTTGGATGTAAAAAAAACTTATATGCATATTTTAGATTTAATTTAACTGTAGATAACTCAACATATAGTTCTAGAGATTAATATTTTGTTATACACTGATCTGGTGATTTGTAGACCCATTATATATATATATATATATATATATATATATATATATATATATATATATATATATATATATATATATATATATATATATATATATATATGTGTGTGTGTGTGTATTTTGTATGTACACGAAAAAAGAGACTAACACGTTTTAATTTCTAATAAATTTGACTAATTTCAATTATTATAATAAAATAATAATAAATAATCAGTATTATTTATATGTATGGGATCCGTTCAATAATTTAATATAGTTGCATTTTGAATAATTTTTATATCTAAGATTTATTTTTTTCTTAAATATGATGATATGTATCTCCTTATCGTGTTATTAAAATGACACTTTATAATTACTTTATGAATATCTTTTTGTCATTTAGTCTATCCATAGGTGAGCTGGGTGGTTGAACTTATGGTTGGAGTCGGGGACGAGGATGATGCCATTTTTATAATCTTAATTGATTACAATTAAATCATCAATAGTTTTATTTGATATAGTTAGTGTCCTTAAATTATGGGGATATTTGCAAGATCATATATTTACTTACTAATAAATCTCCCTTAAAAGACAATATTATATAACTTTATAAACGAATTATATAAACATAGACAAAAATAGTGAAGAAGAAAGTTGTATAAACATGGTTGCCACTTTTTGGCATCCATTGATTCTAACGTGACTTCTAAGTTCTCATTCTGACCACTACATCACATGTTCATCATCACTTCACTTTCTTCATACTCACTCTTCATTTCTTTTACTCATCTAGCAGCTAATATATATACTTATAACAAGATTTAATTACAGTAGTAACGTTATTACAATAAATTAAATAATCGATCATAAATCTTTTTAATTTTATTTTTTTATTAGTAAGTACTAAGATATTTAATTGGAAAATTGCATCTATGTTGGAATAAACTAATTTTGCATACAAACTCAGGCGCCAATTACAAGCAAGCAACACACAGACAGCTCTGCATGGGTCCTGTTCATTCCGGAAACAAACAAAGTGACTAAACAGTACTCATTGTTCGATAATTATGACCAGTTTTATCTTATTCAGTTTGCTATTTTTATTCTTTTAAATCCCTCCATTTGAATCGAAAAGCGTGTGTTGTGTATGATTTTATTTTAAATATATCATGATTTATCTTGATGGAGAAATTCATAAAAAGGATCTTGTTGTAAGAATGGAAGGTGATGATTAATTATGATGAAATGAAGATTGAAATTCGATAATTTAATCCTAGAAATACCCTCGATGGATAACACTAACAGACACAGAATTGTAAGTTACAATCATGAAGAACGTTGTTCAGATCTGTTTGAAAAATCTAAAGCATAATTCGGAATAAATCTGGAGAATTCTCAATCATGAAAAATAAATCGGGTGAATCTTCAAAGGATCAAGTTAAATCTATAATTCAGATCTGAATTCGGATTTCAATTTAAACGTGATGTGAATTGAATTGACATATCATAAGAAATTAATAGGAGACGTGTGGAAAAATTACATACATATTTATAGAAGAGAATTCACACGATCATGAACTCGAGATTGAATGAATTCTCGTAATAAAAAAATTTACAGAGGGCACCTCCGCTTTTTGGATGAATTTCGGTTGAGTAATTCATAGCTTGCCTTGAAGAAGGAATCAATTTCGTCTCTTGCAACAACCTCGAAGAATTGAAATTCTGTCAGCCTTCTTTTGCAGGAAGGAGAGGCGCCATGCCGCTGTTTTTTAGGCGCCGGAGGACAGCTGAGAATCTCGGGAATCCTGTGCTCCGGTGACGTCGGCGTTACACATTCTTCAACTTGTTCTGATTGAGTTCTGCATGATTCCTCTGACGATTCCTGTTCCGTTGATGGAAGCTTGAGTGTAAGAGACGTTAACTGAATTGCCGGGAGTTCTTGCAGCCGGAATTCTAGATCTGCGGACATGGTGGTGGTGGAATTCTGATTGAGAAGGAGGAAGGTGTTGACAAGAAATGGAGGGAGATGCGTGTAAGAGTCTCGCTCTTTATGTGAGGAAGAAAGAAAGAGGCGTGCGATAGAAGGTAATCGAGTCATATGGAAAAGAATATGCCATGGGTAAATTCGTCATTTCCTCACATCAAGGATAATCTTCTCATTTCAACTAATATATTTGGTGCATTGTTGTTTAATTGATGCGTCTTAAATTCGAATTTAACGTGTTACTAAATGCAACAATTACATTTAATTTCAAATTACATGTAATAAATGAGACAATTCTCGAGATTAGAATGCTATCAAGGTGTTTTTCATATTGTACATCTCTTTTCGTACTTTATTTTTTCAAATATAGTAATTTGCGATTTCATATCATATTTGTATGAAAAATGTTAAAAAAAAAAAGTTGATTGGTTGAATGTGTGGGTGCAATGAGATGATGTGTCAAGAGGAAATAAATAATGGGACAGAGCCTAAATAAATAGAAGTGCATTAATTCTCAATTAATGTCTTATAAATATAAATCTAAATATAAATCGGGGGTTGGCAGAAATTATTTTGTGAAATTAGTTGTTTTTTTTTTTTTTTTTTTTTTTTTTAAACCGGTAAATATTATTAAAACACCCACCTAGCAAGTTGCTAGGGGATGGGGAGGGGAACACTTTACAATTTTACAAGATTACATGTTTATAAAGGTAAGAGTGGAGAGCTTTATACACACACTTAAATGGACTCATACACCAATCCACCCAACGCAATGTGCATCTAAATCTCCTATGCTTGACCTATGTCAAGACTGTCTATTTAACCATATTAGCCACCGTAGTAGGTGATGTTCGAGTTTTCTTGAAAGTCCAGTTACACCTTGCCTTCCATATGAGCCAAACTATTCCATAACATATAGCAATTAGACTCCTCCCTTTTTATGGCATGTCCCCCATTTAGAGGCAAATTTGTTGAGTTCGAAAGGTTATGAGGTGTCGAAGTCTGTTTGAGTCATTGTATGTTTCGAAGTTTGTTTGAATGTTGTTTATTACAAGGGCATTTTGTATTGAAACTTAAGTTTCTTAGTTCCTTATATTTTTTGTATGCTTTTTCTTATCCACACACACACACACACAAACACACACACACACACACACACACACATATATATATATATATATATATATATATATATATATATATATATATATATATATATATATATATATATATATATATATATATATATATATATATGATGAATACTAGAGTTAGAGGGTAGCTTTAGCATTTGACTTGTACTCTCTAAACTTTCTCTGTATTTTCCAGAAAGCGTAATCGAGCCAAACAGATTATATTTAGATCTTGTGTTTTTAATTCTTTCCAAACTCTGATCTTGTATTACGAACCCGATTAAATCACAACTACATTTGGTCAGAGCAGGATTCATCCAGTTTTGATATGATTTTCTTAGGTTTTCAAAAGGTTTTGAGTCTCGTACCAGATTCAAAGTTTTCCGCTCTTTTGAATAAGAAAATCGTCTTAGATCATCTGATTTGATTTGATTCCGCGTTGTGTTTGTGTAATCGAGTGTTTGTTAATTGATTTTGAAAGTTTTAAGGATTAGATCTCAATTTTTGAAGCTTTTCTCAAAAACCTTCCGTACGACAATGACGAATTTTAACATGAACACCATGACATCTTACTCTCATCTTCTTGGTTCTTTAACCAAGATTCCTATGTTGATTCCTGAGTTCTACGATCAATGGGCTGATCGTATGGATGATTATTTGAATGGAATTAATGAGGATCTATGGAAATGCATCATGGGTGATGTTCGTCCTCTTGTAGCTGTACAAAGTATTGGAACTGTTGCTATGTAACGTCATAAAATTCCATCCAAAAATTTTCATCTTTACAACCATCAAAACATGAGTAATAAGTTTAGATTCCAAAGTAACAATGTAGTCACAACCGATCACATAACAAAAGATAACAAAATAGTTTCCCCGAGTGTGTGTACGGTCACGCTGGCACCTTCCCACGGTCCTCACTAGTACCTGAAACACATAATACAACAACTGTAAGCATAAAGCTTAGTGAGTTCCCCAAAATACAACATACGCACATACGCCTTTCCAGGTCTTGACCTTCCGGTCCTTGTCTCTCAGGGGACTTCCATCCCGACTGGGTAGACCTTCCGGTCCTACCCACGTCAACCTTACAGTCCATATGACCACGCCTTCCGGCCCATATCATGTTGCCTTCCGGCCCAAATCAAACATATCATACATGGCACATGTAACAAATAACTTAACACACATAAGGCATATATCTCATATCATATTCGACCTTCCGGTCACACAGTCAAAACCCTTCCGGGTGCAGTATAGTGAGAAGACTCACCTCGTATGCCTCGCTAAGTCGCTAATCGTGAATCCTGAAATCACTCGAGCTCGAACCCTCGAGCTGCAATCCTCCTATGATATTATAAATCTATAATTATTACTTGTACCACAAAGGTGGGCCATCCTTATCAAGTCAACACAGGTTGACTTGGTCAATTGTCTTTAATCAATTTGGACCGGACTCGGCGAGTCTACGCATTTTATTCAACTATCAAGGTTTTCCCCTTTTGACTCGTCGAGTACTCCCCCGACTCGACGAGTTCCCCCTGGGCCTGAATCACAGGGCCACCGCGACTCAACTCGCCGAGTCGAAGGTCAACTCGGCGAGTCCCAACCTGACTCGGTCCACCTATTCAAAACCTTTCCAACTCTCTGCGACTCACTGAGTCGCCCTCAACTCGGTCCGGACTACACACAGGATGGTCTCAAGGACAATCTTCAAGCGACTCGTCGAGTCTGTTCTTCGGACTCGGCGAGTCCATGCCATGCACCAGCTAAAACTGGCTTTTGTGGTCAGATCCGTTCCATACATGCATAGATCTGGCCTTCCCAAGCTTATTTGTCACGTAAAGTCTCGGTCTTGGTTGCCATGCAATGCATACAAGGCTTATTTTGAAGAAACAACCACTAATATGGCAAGTTTAGCTTCTAACTCAAAAGAATGGACATAAAGCTTGTCATAAAGGGTCTCCTGGACCTGCTAAAGTCCAGATCTAGGTTCCATATCTCCATGGGACCTATCATACTTCTAATTCAAGCCAAGAAATGCAAGAAGAAACCCTAGATTTGGCACATCAACACAAAACACAAAGTTTGGCTCTGAAAATTACCTCAAGAAGACTCCCTTGGTGAAGTAGCAACAAATCCAAGCTCCCCAACACTTCAAGCTTGATCCTCTCCCTCCTTTCCTTGCAATATCCCACAAAATAATGAACAAAAAGCCTCCAAACACTCTCACAAGGGCTCACAGACGTATGGGGGCTCTTAGGGTTCAAGGTGGCCGCATATGAGGGCCATAAGGTCCTTTAAATAGGGCTTAGGGCTGGGAAATTAGGGTTTCATTAAACAGCGCGGACTTGCCGAGTCCATCCCTTGGACTCGCCGAGTCCGGATGCGAACCCCCACCCAAAACCGCGACCCGACTCGGCGAGTTCGACCTCCAACTCTCCGAGTCCCCTCACATAATGTCAAAAATATATGAAATGAAGATACCTGGGGATCCGGGCTGTTACATGCTAATAATCCAGATGTTGAAGAACAGGTTGAGAAATTTAAGAAAAATGAAAAGAAATGTATGTGTGAATTGTGTGGTGCTCTTCCACTAGTGGTATACTATTATGTAAGGTGCTGTAAAACTTCAAAGAATATTTGGGATATGCTGAAGGAGAAGTATCAAGGTAGCAAGAAAACAAAGATCAGTTCAGTCAAACAATGTTTGTTACAATTGGGAGAGTTTAAGCAGAAGGAAGGAGAATCCATTGAGGTCTACTATGACCGTCTGAATGAACTCATATTCAAATGCAACAAATATGGAGTTACTGATGGGTTTTGAGCATTACAACAATCATATGGTGTACATGCAATCATAATTGCTTTGAATCTAAGTTTTTCTCTATTGAACATGCAAATACAAACTCCAAAGCAATAAACCTATGATTAGCATACAATTTTCGAAATCTATATATAAACTAGGGTTAGATGATTACCTCACTTATTATATTGTAATAACAAGAAAAATCCTTACTTGATCTTGAATCTTGAAAGCTTAGTGCCCCAAGTGTAACACTCATTGCAAAGGATGACTTGGAGAGGTATGAAAGTCGGCCAGGGTATGTCTCATATGCATGGTGCCGATTTTCCTATGTAGAGGTCCTTTAAATAGCTGTGGCTGTTAGGGTTTTCAAGTGTAAACCCTAATACCTTACTTAGGCACCAAGCAGCCCATGGAACTGCTCTATAGAGCCCGTGGATGAAATCTATAGGGTGTCTCTATAGGATTTCGTTTACTCGACTCTATAGAGTCCATCAGCTAGTCCATCTATTATTAATCAGTTCCTTTAATCCAAAAATTAATACTAGATTAATTTCTGATTAATTACTAATTAATAATATGATTTCCATATAATATATTAATCTTATAATATATTAATAAAATCATTCTGAGTACTAATTTATTATTCATATAATAAATCCTGCTCTCTCTCTCTCTCTCTCTCTCTCCACTTGTCATCATGTCAAGTTGCATGAGTGAAGGCAACCCAAAAGGACCATGCTCATAACACTACAAGAAAAACACTATTTTTCTAGGGAAGGTCGCTATGGAATGTATTTTTGTTGTTAATATGCAATGGATTGTGCTATGGAATGTCGTTCCATAGCAATGTTGCTACCACATTGTCTACAAATTTTATTTCTTGTAGCGAGAATGGGACTTGCTAGGGAAAATGCTACTAACTCTATATCCGTTGGTATTATGCTATCAATATTTCTATGGAACAAAAATTCGTAGCAATTTTCCAACGATATTTGTTATGAAATCACTTTCCGGTGTACTGCTGTTATGGAATTAATTATCGTGGTTACTATGCAACAAACTTTGTGACGGAAACCAATTCCATAGTAGATTTTCTATGGAAGTACCATTCGTAGGTATTTCCTAGGGAATTTTGCTATGGAATTTGTTTTCGTTTTCTTGTTTTGCTATGG